AATAATTCATATTTAATAATAAATTATCTCTAAAATTATAAATTAATTAAAGAACTAAAGATATGGATCTTAAGAAAGACTCAGAAATTCAATAACCTTTACTAAAATAGGAAAAGAATACTTAATCATCACTAGATGAAACAAAGAAAAATCTTCTCCCTGCCGAATATCAATGGATTTTGGATGATTATAAGGAAGTTGACTATTCTAAGGTAGAGGCTAGGATTAAAAGCATCCCATTCAATCTAAAGCGTGCTGGAGCAAATATTGAGGTCAAAGAAATATCATTAATTCTTCATAAAAATATCATGATAGCAGAATACCACATCGAATAGGAAGACTTATATGCTGAGGAAAAATGTACAATTGATATTCATGACTTAAGCACTTACTAAATCATCAAAACAATTGAGTTAGAAGATGTATTTGAATAGAGCAGACTCTGTCACTAAAACTTCAATGATGTAGACTATTGTTTCTATTAATAAGGTTAATTTGTTTACTTAATGAAGCTTGATGATTTTATTGAAGAATGAAAAGATTCTTATTTGATTATATTTGACATTTCTGAAGATATGACTCTCTAAAATGCATAGATCATAGACGAATTCACCATCTTGATACATCATATTTATCATTTGTCAATATTTAAGCTTCATGGTAACTCTCTCTAGAAAATTAATCAGGATTCTAAAATTAAATTTGAAATTAAACTCATGGGCCAGGAAGTGTATAAATAAAAACTAATTAACTAAAATCAGAACTGGTTTGTTAAAAACGAAGACCAAAGTTTCTATCACTTTTATAACAAAGATTATAGTGAGTCTTGTTAAATACTCTCAAACTATCTTATTTTTCACAAAATTGGCAAATGAAATACTGTATTTATCAATAAAAATTCACTTGAAATAACTAAAAGCTTTGATAAAGAATATTAATGTATTAGGTATTTAGACTAGTATGAATACATTTTGGATATGGACTTCAATATTTATGAGATCGAAGATCTTAATGGTTTGAATCTGAAAAAAATAACTTAGCTTTATGATTATAAAATTTCATCAATTTATGATATTGCAACTACCTCAAATAAATTTATCTTATATCAAAGTAATAACGAAATGGACAAAAGCATTTTTGTCTTTGATGTTAAAACATTTTAATTAGTAAATTTTGTTAGAAAAATTATAATAAAGGACTGCTATATGTTTAAAGTAGATACGATAAACAATAGATTTTATTTCAGAGATCTTGATTTTAATAAGCATTTAAATTATTTCAATTTTAGCACAAACTTCAGAGAAAGCCATGATCTAATCCCAGTATTAAATAAAGGATAAAAGTTAAAAGTTAAAAATTTTAAAGATATGATTAAAAATTACTTAATTTATACTTAAAATGAAAATGACAAGATTGTGATAAGAGACTTTACAACTGGATTTACGAGGGAAATATCTAATGACTAATTAGCTAATTGCAAAAAAATCCTTACTACTTAAGATGAAATGTTTCATTTTGAAAACTTTGAAGAATTGCTTAAATAAAGCAATTTAGAAGATTTAAATGAATTAGTTGATGATATTAATCCAGAGGATATCTTTATTAAAAATGATAAACAGTATATATATCTTAATGGTAATCGCAAGTTGGATTGGATCTAATTCAGAACAAAATCTGGAAACGTATTTGAAAGAAAAAATACTTTTTGTATTATGTATAATCGGTTTAATGAAAAGCAATACGTATTTGACTAACTTTCAAAAGGCCAAATTGTTTATTATGATAAAATGAACTAAAAGTTTTCAACTATTGAGTTGACTGTTTAATTGACTTAAATGATAATGATGCATCATCCTTTAAAAGCTATTCTAAATGATCATCAAGGATATTTATTGGTTTAATATGAATCTTTTGTCCATATTTTTAATCTTTAAGAAAGATAGATAATTAAAGAAATATCAAACGTAGCAAGGCAATTCGGCTCAGTCTTTTATAGAAATAACTATATTCAGATAAATTATTAATAGGGAACAGATATTATATTTTTCAAAAATAAGTGCTTACACAAAATTGTCAAGATCAACTACATCTAGTCACTAAAGAATTTCATAATGTTTAAAACTTATTAAAAGTAATTTAATTCAAAGACTTTCTATTTATTTAAAGAAAGAGGTAAAGGTGATTAATCTGAAATTTATAGTATGACATTTAATTCATTCGAAGAAATGTTTAATGAGGAATAACTATTATAGCCTATGTTTTTAACTTTTCATTTCGAGTATGCTGACAAAATAATCATAGATCCAAGTTAAGTTAAATTATTCATTAATGGAGAGCAAAACATGGTTGGATTTTTCTAAATAGATATTAATGATTAATCGATAAGAGATTACAGAGAAATTTCTACCAAGACTAATGAAGAGATTATTAAAGAACTTTAAGCTGATGTAAAAAAATATTTTAAGTATGTTGCAGGAATTGGAACTGGAATAGGGTTATTTTAGAATAATTTGATTGCTTTAGAAACAATTGTTAAATAGCTGTAAAAGATGGATAAACAGGAGATACCAATCCTTATTTGCACGCTTATTAACTAATCCCCATTTGATTTTTCGATTAGTAATCATTAGTTAAAAATAATAAATCTGATTCTCGCAATAATTCTAAAATATTATAATCATATCATGTTTAACTAACTGGTAGATAAAAACTTATGCGAATTAATCAAACAATAAATAGACTTATAAGAATACTTCGAAAGTAATTTACCTAATTATGAGATCCTTGACTAATCTTTTCTAAGTTAACACCATGATGAATAAGAGCTGATTAAAGGAATAAATTTAGATCATCCTAAGAACGTAAATGAAAAATATGATGAACTATTCGGTGGCAAATTGTTACATTCCCCTGAATCAAGTGATTAAATAGTATCAATTGAATATAATTTGATCAACTTACCTCATTCATTGCGATCTAATCCATAAGAACTGATGAAAGTCCTAAGCGAGACAGAAAGGGCAGACTACTTTGAAAATATGGTTATCTAAAGTATCATAAAATTCAAGTGGAATCAATATGCAAAGTCATTTTACTAAAATAGATTCTACATTTACTTGATATTCATGGCTTCCTTTATTTTTGATATTTTCTATTAAACCTATGCTTCTGTCAAATCAAATGATGGAGAATTACCAGATTAAAGTAAAGTTGAATAAGATTCTGAAATTTAGCAATTAAATATGTGGCTAAAGATATCAACAAAAGTAATATGCAGTATTATACTTGCTTATTTCTTAGGATATGAGTTACATTAGATTAGAGTTTAAAGAAGAGATTACTTTAAAGATGGATGGAACTATTTTGATTTTTCACACATTATTGCTTTTGTAGTATACTGCATTTTAGATTTTACCAATGAAAATCATGATAGCGTAATCTTGATCAAAATTCTAGTAATTGTTTTGTCTTTTATGAAACTATTTTTCTTTTTAAGAATTTATGATGGCTTCAGCTTTTTAGTGCAAATGATGGGAGGTGTCTTTAAGGACCTCAAATACTTCTTAATATTCTTTATTATTTTCATCCTCCAGTTTGGTATGATATTCTTGGTCTTATTCAAGGCTCAGTCAATTGATGAATACAATGGTGTCAACAAGCTGGCATATTTCTTGATGGCCTTTAGAATTTCATCTGGTGATTTCCAATTAGAAGATTATCATAGTTAAAATGACGGATTGGTCATATTCACCTGGATAATCTGGTTAATAGCTGTTATGACTTTGAATATTGTATTCATGAACTTCATAATTGCTGTTATTTCAGAATCTTATGAAAAAGTGATGCAGAAGTTAGTAGCTGAATCATACAGAGTCAAAGCACATATGATTGTGGAAAGAGAGCAACTTTTCAATGAAGCTGACTTGGCAAGAACAGATTATTTCCCTAATTTCATTGTTATCAGAAGACCCTTAAATACTTAGACTAATGAAGCTGGGGAATGGCAAGGATTTATTAAGGATCTTAAGTATACCATAAGAACATCTGCTGTTAAGTCTAAAACTGAAATTATTCAAAATCTAAGTTAACTTCAAACTTAGAACAACTCGAAGTTAGATTAAGTAATAGAGAACAGCTCTAAAAATCTTGCTAATGAAGGTCTTGATGAAAAAATATCTAAGTTACTGAAGTAGTAGCTTGATCAAGCTTAAGAGAATAACAATAATGATTTTAAGCAGTTGAAAACTGATGTTAATGGACTTGGTGGATAAGTAAAAGAGCTTAAGGAAGACATGGAACTCATTAAGAGCTCATTGTCTCAGCTTCTTCAAAAATTTAATCAGTGATCAACTTAGTAGACAAAATGATTCTACTGAAGTGGTTTCCTATAAAATGCATTATTAACTAACTTGATTTGCATTTAAATTTGAGAGACTTTAAACTGATTGATTATATTCGAAGGAATATATTGATCTTAACTATTTGATTTATTTTATTTCTAAAACTTTGATATGCTCATTAAATAATCAATATCATGTCTAAGGGGTTTTGGGGTTTTGGGGTTTTGGGG